AAGAGTAAAGACTTTATAGTATTATTTAGCCCAGTGCTGCTGCTGAGAAAACAAATCTGGGTCTATTCTGGCCCACCCAAGGGTTGCCAATAGTTTTGTTTTGTTCTGTTTTGTTTTTTTGTCATGAGAACTAACTCTTTCATAGTATTCTCATAACAAACAACCATTTGCATTACTACAAGCACTTACTCTTGTTACCTCTGTGTCTGAGTATGCTGCTTGTCAGTGTCTGTCTGTGAATGTGTGGATTTGTGTGTATGCACTTCTCTTCTCCAGCTCTGGACTGCTCCTGTGGGAGTCTTGAGTGGGGGAGTTCGTGATCAAGGCTAGGGCACCTGCTATGTGGTTCACATTTCACATAGGTAACTGTTCCAAACACCAGAAAAAGAGAGAGGTCAAGCTGAACCCTTGAAATGGCAGAGAGCTTTGTCTAAGTCAAGTTATAATGAAACTCCAAGATTGGGTAAATCTGTGGTTGGAATATGCAACAGTTGGTTCTTAGTCCTGTGGGAAGTCTTAAATCTTCTGCTCCTGTCAAAGGCACAGGCACTCTCCCATTTGAGGAAGTACAATAAACAACTGAATTTTGTGTTACAATCCTCTATTTCTATTGAAAATATCATCAAGTTCAGGGATTTTATAAGCACAAGTGAAATATTGCTTATACAGTGATATATGGTAAGAGAAATCCAGACTCTTTCTAGCCCATGGTCAACAGACAACCAAGATACTGTTAGAGGGGATATCTTTTTTTTCTGTTTTGCCTGAATCAAGTGATGCTTGAGGCATTGAGTAAAGACAGCCCAAGACCCAGAGCAAAGCCATTAAATCCCAGATGTTCACTATTTCCAAGGAAATGTTCTGCGCCTGTGGTTATTACTCAGATGGCTACTTAAATGCTCTCATTTTGGCACCTTTTGCACTTGCTAAACTCAATTTGAGGAAAGAACCAGGGAGAAGGGGAATTTTGTAGAAAGCAATTAGCCTGCACTTTGGTGACCTTCATGCTTTCCCCATCATGATGAATTGCTGGTTAGCTCTTGTATCAGTCAGCAGGTAGCTTTTACTAGAATTGTGTTATATGTTATAGATAACCAGTTTTATCTAATTAAATAATAATGATGGCAGTGTACGACATTTTCTGGGAATTAATGAGCAGCTGGGAAAAGCTGATGGCTGGAGAGTCAGCCAAAGGCTATTAGCTTTGGTCCACCATTAATCTCCAGAAATGCCCACTCGTGACATCACTGTTAGTATTATGTTAGAACAATGAAAATTCAAGTCAATTTACTTATATTCATTGTGTAGTACCTACTAACATGTTCTCCTTTTGCATTATCCAAAAGTCATGTTTTCCTTGTTTAGCCCCAATTGTCCCTTAATCTAAAAATTTTTTCTACATAGCAATTCCTAAAAATGGAATTTCTTGGCTTTTATATAATGGTTAGTGTATTTTAAGGTTTTTAATTTGGAGAGTTTTCCTTTAATATTTTGGATGGTAAAACCAGAAAGTTTCTTCAGCTGTGGTTCTGGAATTTGAGAAGTGTGTATATTGTCATGACTATCTGCTCGAGGCAGGAAATGGTTGCAAATGCTTTGAACAGCAGCTGTTGCTAGCAAACATGTGCACTCACCAACAAGATTCTAAGAAGTTATAGTAACACTGCGAGGAGATGATGGGAACTCTCTGCCAGGAAAAGCTGTGATGATGTGTCTATACAACCTTTTTGATTACTGCTGCTGAATGCTAGAGGAAAATTGGACTGAAATATTCACTACCTTCTGCATAATTTAATAGTATTTCTACATATAGGCTCATATAGGCTATCTATCAAGAACTTTTTCTAAAACCTAAATGGGAAGTTTATACTTATGTTGTCTTCTATACTATTTCCCCCCTGCATGAAAGAAAGTTCTGTAAGGCCACTGAAACCCCAGCCAATGAATTTTGAAACCGTTGCCAAACACAGAGTCTTTAGATATAGTCTAAATTCAGCCATAAGTTGTTTATTTTGTACCCCACAGGCATTATTCTTCCTGGAAGAAATGGGCTGGTGGTATCTATCAGTCCTTCTAAATGCATGTTAAGTGTATGCATTTGGGGGAGGAGAATGAGTCAGCATGCCATTAATCACAGCTTTGGAGGCACTGACTCACTCCTAGGGAAATGGAATGGCCTCACTGGGGAAGGGTGTGAAAGAAAAACTCCATTCTTGGGTCAGTTCCCTGTTTCTGCAAATGCAAATCAAATTTGCACCCGCTTCAGTGGCTGGTTTTCAAACTAAAGAAAGTAGCTGTGGACCCCATAAAGGCACACATCCAGCTTTTCCAGGGAAAGACAGTAATGAGACAGAACACTGCTTAAACACACAGGAAACCTAGGAAGAAAGCCAGAGCTCACAAGAGCCTAGTGGACATCTAAGGCCCGAATTCATAACCCTGGCCTTATTCTTGCACAATTCAGCCAGGTAGGTCTTTGATCCACTATTAATTTTGGGGCATTCAGTAAAAAACTCTTATCTTTATTAAAGGACTTTGAACATCTGAAGGATATTTACAAGGACTTGGATTCTTTTTGGAAGTTGAAGCATAGAGAGCAGCTTGGAAGTCAGGCCTTTGTCAGGGTCAGATTGAGAAAAGAAACATAAGTGATTATTGGTGGACATTGTGCAATTTCATCTGTAAATACTTATATAGTCTCTTAAATTTAAATGTGAGCTCTATGTGGTATTTCTTTAAATACAAACTTGTTGATTAACATGAAAACATTATACTATTGATACATTTAACACTATTAAAATTTCATTGTACTGATAAAACAGGTATAGATTATCTAGTAGCTAGCTTTTCCCAGGATGTTTTTCAACCCCTTAAGATAAAATGATTAGATGTGTTATTAGATGTGTTTCCTTAGAGCTTTGTATAAAATGTTCCATCGTTAGTCTTCCCTGGGTGTAGGTTTGATTGAAAATGTTTACTGCTTTCGTGAAGCTCTAACTTGAGTTCATTTTGTTATGTGGTGACCACAGTTCTGGATGACGCCCCCCCTGGCACACAGGAATACATTATGTTACGGCAAGATTCCATCCAATCTGCGGAATTAAAGAAAAAAGAGTCCCCTTTTCGTGCTAAGTGTCACGAAATCTTCTGCTGCCCGCTGAAGCAAGTGCACCACAAAGAAAACACAGAACCCGAAGGTTTGTGCAAGACAGACACATGTTTTGCTTGTTCTCTCTCTCTCTCTCTCTCTCTCTCTCTCTCTCTCTTTTGTTTTTGGATTGTGCAATGCTGTCTGGTGTGCTGTGTGTATTGTTCAGTCCCTGTGACAGCTATAGAAGACCCTGGCTCAGTGGTGACTGTGTTATGCAGTGATAAATGGGACACTGTAGAATACAGTCATCTCAGCACAGCGTGCAGCATCCTGCTTCTTGCAGATGAAACATTTTCAGTTGATGTCATGACACTATTTCATTTTGGCTGCCAAAGTTGCTTGCTCCTGTAACCAACACCTGCCCAAATCTGTTCCCATCACCTTGCATTCCTGAAGCAGCAGCCAGCTGGGGAATGACACTTCTAAAAGAAAATAATGAGATGGTTGTTTCAAAATCTCTGTCTCTTCTCCACTCCATAAAGCTTCTGCATTGCTTTGGAAGAATGTTCATGATCAACTTAGTTCGCTGAAGCAGTCCCAGACTCCCCATGTAATGCACGTCCAGTTGCACCTTGCCACAGTGAAATGCATGTCTTGAGGAAACAATGAGGAGTTCTTAACATTTTTTTTTCAGCTCAATACAGGTTTGGAGAACTCAACTTACTACTTACTTAAACTCAGATTGATACAGTGTTTATACCAGTCCATGTCACAAATCCCTATTGTTAACTTTTCTGTCTTAAAAGGGTATTTATTAACTTTCCAACATTTTTGCATGCATCAAACAGGATAATTTTTCACATTACAAATACAGTGAAGTGATTTTATTGTTGTCAAATGTGAATTTTGACTTCCAAAATAACCTTCACAACTGCAATTCATGTAAGAGGTTCTTTTACAGTAAGAAATTATCTTCTGGTCATTCATGATTGATGGAGCTTTCCAGTGTACAACATTGGATGTGACAGCAGTCATCTCAATGGCACAGAGAGTATACTTTTTGCATAATGTCTTCATATATTCTGTAAGTGACTTTGTTCCTATATCAAGTTGCACTTTTGCAACTTCATAAGAATCCATCCATTATGGCCATGTTTCTGATGTGAAAAAAAATGACATCTGGTTTCATTTAAAGTTTTGTACGTAAGGCAATGACTCACAGTGAGCTCCTCCAGCTCATAGTTTTGAAAGCAAAATCTTTCACCTGAAAATGTCTCTTTCTCTTTCTTCCAAACAGAATGTTAAGTGTTCATGGACAGAAATTCAGAAGTCTCTCTATCTATGTGCAGGTCTATTTTGGTAATGGAATAAAACATTTGCACTTTTTTCTCCAGTACTTTTGCTAATCTAAACAATCTACATTTGCTGAGAGTCCTAATGTCAATAACTAGTCACCTGCAGCTATAAATGGTGACACTTTCCAATGAGTAAAATCTACCTCATGGTGCTTTAGTTTAGAAGAAATTAACTTCAGTTTAATGTTACTGAAACAAAAATTTTTAACCAATGATGAACATTTT